CTAACTGCCCCCCACCCCACCCAAGAGGCTCTGTCTTTCCAAGATCAGCCTTTCATTTAGGGCAATCTCAGCTAGTTTGTGATTTCTCCTCCTCCTCTTTCTGAGCTGGCACTTGCTGTTCTGCATTGGTGCACGAGGCTGGGGACTCTCCCTTGATGACGCTCGCTCTCCCTTGCAGGGAAGCAGGGGGGCCGCTGTGCCAAGGCTCTGAAGGGCATGTGTGACCCTGTGGGTGTGATCAAGATCAGCGATGACAGCAGCACCGACTCCGACATGGGGCTTGACAGTGACTTCAACTCCTCACCGGAGTCTGTGTTTGAGACAGACGAAGTCATCTTCGTTGAGCACACCTACAACGGCTTTGCAGCTGAGGACAGAAGTAAGCAGAGCAGCAGTGTGGGGCTGCCTCCTTCCTTGCCGGGGGACCTGGGAACCCGAGTCACTTCGTTCTGTGGAACATGGCACCCAGTGCATGGGAACGCAACTGGAGACGTCCGCCCACCCCAGCGCCCTGCAAACATGGACAGCGCATATCAGACCCTTTGGGGCGGGTCTGGCTAAGGGATCGCAGAGTCAGTGGGCTGATATGGGGAGATTCTCTTGGTGTCTTCTTGGAATGGTGAAGCTCCTTCTGTGCTTGGTACAGCCTTGTGATCTTGGCTAGATTTTATCCTCTGATGGTCGAAGTCGGGCTTGTGAGGTTGATTGACATTAACCTGCTGTGGTCAGTGAGCAGGAAGAATTTGCCCTGCGTGCTCCTTTCCCCACCAACACAGTGGGGAGCACAGAGGGAATTCACTCCATGCTCAGCAGCATTTATTGCAAGTCAAGGTGTCTTTGCCTGCTCATCAGATAGCGCTGCCAGAAACCCTTTGGAACTTTTCCCCCCTTCCCCCCACCTTTTTTTCAATTTGCAATTACCAGGTGACTCTCTAAACTTTGTATTTTATGTTGCAGGTAACTTTCACATGCTGCCTTCCCAGAAAGAGATGCATGGCCCGAGAGAACTAGAACAAGTAGAAAAGATGAAGCAGGACCTCCTAGCAAAAGTAAAAGCACTGGGCAAAGAGCTACCTCTCAATACCTTGGATGAACTGATCAATCACTTTGGGGGCCCGGAGCATGTGGCTGAGGTATTCCTCACAATCAAGGCTATGTTTTGGTGGCACTGGGAGACAGAGAAAGGGGCCAACAAAGGGGGTTCCTGCTGGAAAAGAGTTTCCTCTCCTTCCTTGCAATGTGAAAAAGCTGTTGAGAATTGACTTTCTAAATTGACATTCTGTGCTGTTCAAGTTTCTCCTCTCTGCTAACAGCCTCTGTCTCTCCTACGTGATCTGTGCAGATGACAGGGCGGAAGGGCCGGGTGGTTTGCAGACCGGATGGCACTGTCATGTTTGAGTCCCGTGCAGAGCAAGGCCTCTCTATAGACCACGTCAACCTGAAGGAGAAGGAGCGTTTTATGAAAGGGGAAAAGGTGAGTCAGGTTTGAGCTAAGGAAACCTCCAGACATCTGCACGGGAGTGAGTACACTGAGAGGGGAAGGAAAGGGTGGGTGCCTTTGCATGCTTGCACCTTGCCAGCCTCAAGGCAACAAGGCTCTGCAGCTTTCCGTCTGTCTGACCTGCTGGAAGGTGACAAGGAGTCATGAGTCCCTTCACAGGCTGCGAGGGGGAGTTGTGCTTTGGGCTGTTCCTTGAAGCAGCTTTGCCAATGTCCAGGAACCTCACTCCTTTCTCACTTGTTGTCTTTCTCCCTTAGCTTGTAGCAATAATCTCCGAGGCCTCCAGCTCGGGCATCTCTCTCCAAGCAGACAGACGAGTGAAAAACCAGAAGCGCCGGGTCCACATGACGCTGGAGTTGCCCTGGAGTGCAGACCGGGCCATACAGCAGTTTGGTGAGGGCTGGGTGTTCTTGGTCACTGTCCCCTTCCCCAAGTGTAGTTCAGACCATGAAGCCTCCAGCGGCCCTGGGACGGAAAGGTGTGTGTGGCCGCCCAAGCCAGGCTTGGGCTGCAGCCAGAGCAGGTGTATTTTACTTTCTGAGATATGGCACCTTGCAGAGCACAGTGCTCCCGTATTTTGCCAGGGTGGAAATGCAGACACAAAGCAGTTGTGACTGATTTATCTTGTGGGGAAGGTTTGTGTTGACTTCAGGAGTGACTTGCAGTGTGGGAAAGAGGAACCTTCCCATACATGTTAGCAGTGTGTCCTCATGAAACCTGCCAGGGGTGCCTGGGGTTTTCTGTTCCACCCTGGGGAGGCTCTGTAGGATGGAGAGGGACAGTTCCTCAGTATGTGAGCACAAAAGAATTAATGTGCATCCTAGCTCAAAGTGTGGAGTCACTCCTCTGCCCCAGAGGGTCAGGGCTACAAACTCGACTCTGCCAAGAGCTCAGCAGCACCAGGGTGATGAATGTGACCGTACCTCTGTTCTTCTCCCCCCCGCCCCCCGCAAAGAGAGATCTCCTTTGAAAACCAGCAGGACATGGAAAGTTGTTTTGACGCTCTCACCTCTTACATAGCTTCCCTTCCTGTACCAGACAGGCTGTACCAACCTCTCCTTTCACTTTTGTTCTCTTGTCCCTGTAGGTCGAACACACCGATCGAACCAGGTTTCTGCCCCAGAGTATGTCTTCCTTATCTCTGAGCTGGCAGGGGAGAGGAGGTTTGCATCCATCGTGGCAAAACGTCTGGAGAGCCTAGTAAGTGCCCTGCAGCAGAGATTAATGTGTCAGTTCCAATTCTCTCTGAAGAGCTTCTATTTCGGTGTTCCTACTGGCCTGGCCAGTGTAACATGTATGGGCGATTGCATCACCCCTGACTGAAGGTATTGCAGTTGTGGAATGCAGAAGGCTTTTAGCATCCTGGGATTTGGGAAAGGAAGTGAGGAAGAATATATAACCGAGGCATCAGGAGGAATTTCAGGGAAGCAGAACCCAATTCCAGATGCTGGAATTCCCCTGGTGTTACAGGAGTGTAAACCCATCTGTTTCCAGAAAGCTGATGAAATAATTAGTGGAATAATTAATTCGTCTCTCTTTCATTTTTCTTCTCTTCTGATAAATCCCCTAATACTTGGGTAAAGTCTCAATATTCCGGAGGGAACGCTGCCTCCCCACCGCACTTTCTTATCCTGGCCTCTTCTGAGATATGGCTTTGGGCATCCTTCTCTGGTGTTTTGCAACAGCTAAAAGTAAGAACCTTTTGCTTGGTCTGCCTTCCTAGGGTGCCTTAACTCACGGAGACCGACGGGCCACTGAATCCCGAGACCTCAGCAAGTACAACTTTGAGAATAAGGTAACTTGTGGCTGTTCTCGGGGTAACTCAGCCAAGGAGGGGTTGAAGTAGTCAGCAAGTGCCTTCAGTGGGAGCCAGCACCAGGAAGATCATTGCTGGCATCTACAGGCAGGATCTGGCCCAGCACCCAACTCCCCGCCTGTAGCCCCACGCATGGCGTGCAGAACCGAATTAATAATGGGCGTTGTGCGTGGGAGCATCACGCTGGTGGGAGGATTGTGCTCCCATGGGGGAGCTGGGAAGGGCGCTTGGGCCTCTGCCCTCCAGGCTGGTGCTGGCATCGGGGTTCGGACATGCAGGTTCCTGTACTGTGGTGCCCTCGGGACAGGGGAGGCCCCTGACACACGACTTCCCCCTTAGCACGACCACCAGGCCGGTGGCCTTGCTGGCGGCGATGGTTTACTCTGTGGTGCCAGCAGAGGTGTTGTGATGCACTTGGTGCGCTGCTGGGCTGCCAGTGTAGGTTCATCCCGTGTGTGACCCTTGTCTCCTTTCGCAGTACGGGGCTAAAGCACTAGACAGAGTTCTCTCCACTATCCTCAACCACACGGAGAACAAAGTTCCTGTGCCCAAGAGCTATGACAGAGGAGAGGCTGCCTTTTTCCATGGTAAGAACATGACCAGCTCTGGGGTTTCTGCTGCGTCTTGCCGGACAGGTTGGTCTCAGGTTTGGGATGCTTGAAGAACCAAGCAGGAGGCTGGAGCCAGAAAATCAGAGAGAGGGAACAGTACCACTGGCTTAGCAGCTCGCTAGTGAGCAGGGCAATTGGCCACCCAGATGCGTGTCACCCTGCCAGGTGCGGGGGAAAATGGGTCTGGGACAGGCTGAGCTGTGAAGCAGTGGGCAAGGCCAGAGGGGAAGCAGCCCTGTAGGAAAGCTGAGGTGAGGCTTCACCGTAAAATGCACAAGCTGTTCTCTGCCATTCCAGAAATGAAGCAAGGTCTCATCTCTGTGGGGATCTGCTGCAATCAGATGAAGTATGGCACAGTCTCAGTGGAGAAAGGTATGTGTCAAACTTGTCCTGCCCAACATAGGGGAGAAATGAAAGAGGTGGGGGTGTCATGGCCCAGCCAGTCCGTCTGCACCGGCACACAGCCTCGAGGGGTTTGCAGTGGGGCAGGGTGTTTGCTTTGAGGGGAGGGTCCTGCTGGGAGTAGCCCACACTGCAGATCGCATTTCCCTGCAGCAGCCTGGCAGCTGAGCGCAGCGTGGAACCTTGGGCTGCTCTCTTGTGCGTTAGTGCTGTGCTGCTGTCGGGAAGGGACGTTTGGGAGTGTGCTGGTGGGTTCCATGCCCAGCTGCACCATGTTCCCTAACCCACATGCTCTTGCAGACTGCTCCATCACCAAGTTCCTGAACCGCATCCTGGGTCTGGAGGTGGACAAGCAGAACATGCTTTTCCAGTATTTTTCTGACACCTTTGACTATCTAATTGAAAAGGACAAGAAGGAGGGCAAATATGACATGGGCATCCTAGGTAAGGAGAAAGTAAGGTGGCCAGACCTCTCCTCACTGCACTTCTGAGGTTCCCTGTTTCTTCCCGTTCTGACTGATGGCTGTTCCAGCCTGTGCTGCCGCCAAGGCCATCTTGGGCACTACGGTGTCCCCACACAGTGCAGATCTTGAGACTCTTGCAGGGAGAAGAGGTGGTACGGGAAGATGGATCTTACAGCTGACATGTATTTTGGTCTTTCCTCCTGCTATAGATTTAGCCCCAGGAGTGGATGAGATCTATGAGGAGAGTAAGGAGGTCTTCCTGACTCCTGGGCATCCACAGGATGGGCAGGTTGTGTTTTATAAGGTAAGCAGCCTGCACAGCTATCTCTGTAGTCCAGTTTTCTCCAGTGCTTCCCAGTCTGGGGCTGTGAGCTGCTGGGTCCCTCCTCCCCCTGCCCTGTGGCTTTGTGTCATGTTTGTGTCGCATCTGCCTTGGTCACGAGTGGGTGACTGATGCTGGGAGTTACAGAGAAGAGGCGAGGAGAGGCCCCAGAGGCTTGGGGCTGCCATACCCAGGAGGGCAGTCTGGCAGTGCCTGTCTCCAGGCTGCAGCAGCACCAAGTTTGTGTTGAGGGTGGGATTTGTGAGACAGACACTGATGTGGTTGTCCTGCCCTGTGAAGTTACAGAATTCCTCTGTTTATCCCTGTTCAGATCAGTGTTGACAGAGGCTTAAAGTGGGAGGAAGCTTATGAGAAGTCACTCAAACTGACAGGATCCTTTGATGGATTCTACCTCTCCTACAAGGTAGGTCCCTGGGCTCTGCCAAGGTGGCAGCTCAGCTTGGAGGATGACTCCAGTGGGAGAAGGTCCACCGTGGCTCCAAGAGGTCTTACCTCTTGCTGGGGACGGGGAGATGCCTCCAAGAACCTCCATCCTGGAAGGATGCGGGCTTCGGGAGAGAGGCTGTGACTGTAACCGTCAGCTCTACCCTGACAGATGCGAGGCTGCAAACACACCTGTCTGCTGGCAGAGCAGAGCCGTGGAAAGAACTTCATCCTCTACAAGCCAAATATTGGGAAGCAAAGCCAGCCTGAGAGCCTGGACAGTCTGCAGAAGAAGTACCGGCGGGTAGGTGGGAGCTGCAGCCCTCCAGTGTTGGGGGGAGGGAAAAACCTCTTTCTATGGGCAGGGGTGGCTTTGGAAGGACATTTACTGTAACCTCATCACAGTTCCTCATAGCCCCGTTGTGGATTGGGCAGACATCGTGGTAGCATCTGAGTTTCTTGACTGAGCCCTGAATTTCAAGTCTCAGCTGCGTGTGGGACAGTGGAAGATGTCTAATGCTGTGTGTTTGTTCTGCAGGTGCTGCCCGAGGAAGCCAAGGAGCACTGGGAGAGCAGTTACCACTTCTCCTTGAAGAACTGTAACCACGCCATCTGGTAAGGCGTCTGTAGCCCCAGCCTGTCCTGCCCTCCCCAGGGCAGAGCTGGTGTTGAGGAGAGGGGGGCTGGCTGCGGCCATGGGGAAAGGCCACGCCGGGGGGGCTGCAGGTGGGGGATCCTGCTCTGCTGTGGAAGCCTGTGCCGATTTGGGTTGTTTTCTCCCATTTGGACTGAAGGAACAGGAGCTGCAAGCTGATCCAGGAGGGGAAGGAGTGCTTCCAGGGCATGCGCCTGCGTCACTACTACATGCTGTGTGGGGCCCTGCTGCGGGTCTGGAGCAAGATCGCAAGCATCATGGCAAACATCACCAACACCAGCTACCTGCAGATTGTCCGCCTCAAGACCAAGGAGAAGAAGAAACAAGTCGGTGGGTGAAGGTGCTGGGAAGGGGAAGGGGAGCAGGACATTTTAGGAGGAGCAAGGGGTCCAGCTGCCCAGTGCCAAGATTCCCTTCCTAAAAAGGGAATCTTGTTCCAGCCTGGAAACACCCACTGCTTAGGGGAGCTGGGGCTACGCTGATATGTGTTTGGGTGCTGGGCAGAGGGTGTGAGCCAGGCCTGAGCTGTCCGCTCCGTGCACATGTGAAGTGGTGCTGTTGCTGCCTGCTGTGAGCCTGCAGTGGAGCTGCTTTTGCTCTGGTTACAATCCCGTCTCCCTGCTCCGCAGCCCAGCTGAGAGGTGAAGCAGGCTGGGAGCGTGCTTGACAAATGTGCCCCAGTGCTGCTGCCCATCCCTCTGTCCCCACAGTGCCCCATCCCTTCCCAAAGTGCTTTGGGGACTGATGCATGTTCCTCCCCTAGGGATAAAGATCCCCGAGAGCTGTGTCCGTAAGGTGCTGGAGGAGCTGAAGCGGATGGATGAGAACGTGAAGCGAAAGCACAACCAACTCCTCCAGGCCCAAGAGCAGAGCCCACAGTTCTTCCTGCCGCTGCACATCCTGCCCCAGCCCCTAGACCACACGCAGATGGGGCCCGGGGTCTCCCTGCCCAGGCACTCCCAGCACCAGGACGAGATCCTGGACTTGACCTACAGCCCTCCCAGCAACAGCATTCCCGATGTGGTGATGAACCCAGAGCCCAGTGCGTTGTGCTTCCCCTCGGAGCCCATTCTCCAGCCACACCAGCAGCATGGATTATCCTTTGGCTTCAGTCACCTTTCTGCCTTCAAGAGCCCGGCCCCCGTCCTGGAGGGGAGTGTGCCTCTGAGCTCCTCGCTGCATGAACATCTGCCTCTGCCTCACCCGGGACCCTTGCAGACGCAGCAGCAGCAGCAGGAAGATTTTGTCCAACAGGATGGGAATATCAATTTTAGAGAGATCCTGGAGGACATGCTAAGGACGTTAAACGGGGCCCCCCAGGAAAACATGCTCCCCCAGGAGCGCCAGAGCGTGATCCAGTTCAGTGGGCCTTTCCCGAACTTCTGAAAGCCAGCTGGGCCTGCCAGGCAATGCTTGGCCGCTGTGGATCCATATCCTTTGGTGCAGAGGTGAGAGCTGGGGAGCCCCGGCTTTTCTACTGGTTTGGACTGACCCTTTTCTGGTTTTGAGGGAAGAAAAAGAAAAAACCTATAGTTCCTTAAAGCAAAGTTTATTTATATATAATATACAGTCAGGCATGTATAGATTTGTATATAACATGTGCTTAGGGGGAGTTGAGTGCTGCCAAGTTCAGCTGATCTGGACTGATGATCTCTGCTGTGTTTGAGTCCTGCTCAAAGGTCAGTGCCCGTGCAGGACTGAGGAGAGACACCCCCTCCCCTGTGCCCGTCCCCCTGCAGACTACTGAGTTTCCGAGCTGGGTCATGCCTCCCCCAGCCCTCCAGCCCAGAGCTCTGTGGCCGCTGCCCCCTGAGCTGGCCAGGGCCACGTCTGGTCTCCGAAATGTCACGGTGACCAGAGTGCTGGTCCATTACTGAAGGGCGAGAGCCTGGTCCCCCTGAGAGCTGGCTGACCAAACTGCATCTGCATCAGCTGCTGCCAGGTTTCCTCTCGGGCTGCCCCAGCCCGGCTGTGGACCTTGAGGCTGCTCTGGAAGGCTGGGTCTGAAGGCAGGGGCGAAGGGGAAGGGAATGCCGTCCCAGAGGAGGCCGGAGCCGCTGAGCTCAAGTGTCCTGTGCAGGGCTGAGCAGGTGTAGCTGGGAGAAGCAAAACTGACGGCACCTGCTCTGCCCTTCCCGGGAAGGCGCACCTCTGGGGCTGCCTGAGCTCTGTGGGAGAGGGCAGGAGCTGGCTGCACCCATGCCTCGTTTGTCAGTGTGAGTTTGTCAGAGCTCAGCCGTGCCAGGACCACAGGGGGATTCCCTGGAGCAGAAGGGCCACGTGTCCCATCAGCCTGTCCTGCACTTTAGCCTCGCCAGCTCGCTGTAGCTGGCTGTGCTTTGTCTAACTTCTTGCTATTGCGTGTTGTCCTTCCGCCTGGCCGTCTCGCTGGTCCTGTTCTGTGGGACTTGTCCTTGGCTGGGCCATGGACACGGGCCCGGGTGTCGGGATCTGAGTGAGCCAGCCCTGCCCACCGCTGACCTCGGTGAGAGCTGCTCCCAGGCCCTAGAAGGGAAGAGTTCCCTGGGGAGCACCGAGGATGTGCAGTATCGCTGCTCATGCTGCAAATTCAACCTCTGATACCAAAGAGCAAAGGTCTGCTTTGCAAAGCACTGCCCCAGGCAACCCCCTGCCCCTCGCCAGGAGCAGCTGGGCGAGCTGCCTTCTCCCCAGGACAGAGGTAGCCTCCGGCCACCCCTGCCACCATCCCTGTTCCAGCAGCATCTCGCCTCGGCAGGTCCCGG